TACAATCGCATAGGTGGACTTGCCGAGGGCGTTCCTCGTTCGCTGTAGCATAGGGGGTACACGCGGTAATACGCCTCTATCATACCCGCACTCGAACCGACATCTTGGGGAGTTGAGGTCCCTAACACGGCTTGTCGCCGGTCGACTAGGACGCATTCCACACACCATGCGCACGCCACTCTAAAGAACATAAAAATAAAAAAACATGCACACATATACATCTGTTCACAGAACAACACAGAACGAACAACACGACAACATTCCTAGTCCCTTAGTAGTCATCCCATAACTCTCCGACGCGGAAATCGGATAGGCGACGCGCACGGAACTTAGTATAAAACCGCGCGGACGCAGGGTTAACTCATATCGACTCGCAATGCAAGTATACGCAAGCAGTCGCAATGATGGCGTACTATACCCATACTCATGCCGTCCTCATTAATCTCGAGGGTCGCATTCGATACTCGAGCGTCGGCTGACACGCGCCTTGAGGGAATGATCTCTCGACGCTGGACAACCGCCAAGCGCGGTTGAGAACCACACCCTCTTTTGCACCTTGCAGAAAGTGGGTGGTACACAGGTTCATACCTGTGGTGACAATCATCTCTTATTGCTTTGGTGACCAGCTCTATCGTCCAGGGCCTGAAAATAAGTCTAGGGGGTTGACTTTGACGGCTGCCATGGACTACAACGTCCAACTATCAAAATTAATAAGCAAAATCATCCCATAAATAAATAAACATCCAACACTCATATATCAAATCAGGACTCGAGATAAAATAAAAGAAGGGGAAACATAAACCCATCAGGTATGCAGATCGCGCGTCACATGGTTGTCATTCTCACCGTCTCCAAAGTACGGCTCATATATCAAGCTCCAAATACTAACCGGCACAAAACACAGGTACACACAATAGGCGCATTGCCATACACCAATGTGGTCAACTTTAGTATTCCTTGTAACTCACACCACACCTCACACACTCAAGCCCCAATCATAGCCCAACTTTTCATAAATCTCATAAGTTATTTATAATGCTCATTAAAAGAAGTCCGGTTAAAACCCTCAAAGAAACATATCAAAATCTCAGGGCTGAGGCAATAAAGTTGAGGTACACGTGTAAGCAAAGTTGTGTCGTGAGGCGACGAGTCGACGGTCAACCAACCGATCTGTTATCAGTGATAACAAAAAATGATCGTCGTAGGATCAAGTTGAAGCTAGTCCAACGATGTGGTCGACATGGACGACTGGAATAATCACTACGCGGAACAGTTTGCTGAGGCACCAGTCCCTGTGAACGTGGCTTTGCTCACTGCGCCAGAGTACTTCATCCCGGAGGATGTGTTCGAAGGTCAGCCAAACAGTTACTGGCAATGCCTTCGTCGAGCTGTGTTGGGTAGAGCACCGTCCATTACTTGTGTAGAGTTCCGATCCAACATTGTGAACCGCATGAGGAGTATGTAAATCCTTGCTGACATCACTTACGATGCGTACTTTGCCGATCTTGGGTCTGGTGTGACCCTTGATGAGGAGTACATAGCTTATGCCATTACCGAGGTCCACACTGTGACTGTTCGGATCCAGAGTGGGGAGGACTCAAGTTACCGGAGTTTTGAACATCCCGACGCTACGACCGTAATTGATCTTGTGTGTGTGCATGGTTTCTATGTGTTGAAGTTGTAGGACTGTTTTGAAGTGATCTCGACGTATTTAAGGATTTATGCTTATAGTCCGAGGTAGGGGACGGGGGGAGGAGGAGGGGCGGTCTGTCTTTGGAGCCGCCCCGGAGAGGACAACCCCTCCCTTTTGGGCCCTTGTCCCACCCCCATGGACCTTTTGCAGGGTCTGCGCAGTTAATCCCCTAGTCTTCCAGGGCAATCAATGATGGCGGGCCCTTCGGTTGCTCTGTGTGCTGAGTATGTGTATTGCTACGGGACGCTGAACCCGGTTTCTAGCAGGCGACATACCTGCTACAAGGAGCTGCTCTTACCACTTCCTTTAGCAGGCTGACGATGGCATTAAAAAAAAAAAGAAAAAAAAAAGACAGTTTCGAAGGGGAGTTCCCGAGTAGGGAATTTGCAGAGTTAGATAAAAGTGAGGCAATGCGGTGACATACCCATAAATGATGAAGAAATATTTTTTATAAGTTGAGGTAGTAGGGGGATTTTCAGCCATAGTTGAAGTAAGATATCAGGAAGTATGCCAGAAGTTCTATGTGCATCAGCAATGCATTGAAGGATTTAAGAGATTCTTGTTCATCATGGATGATTTTTTGGGGGGAAAAAATATTTTTTGCACTTCTCAATTTTTTGCAGCAATTTGAATTTCGCATACCCTTTTCTTCCTTCTTTGTGTGGTGAGCAATCACGGATGGTTTTTACGATCTCACATGGTGAGCAAATTTGAAAAGTTATAAAAACTTACGCTTGCACAATAAAGGTTATAAAAGTGATGCAACATTGCACAAAGGTTCGGATCAATGTTTTTTTTTTCCCCCCCCTTCTCTCTTTTGCTTGCCTAAGCCGTATGGAGGTTTGATTGAGCTTTTGTAAACCAGCTGCTTTCGACCATCCAAACCCCATGCAGGTGAACAGACACCGCAGACGAAAAACGGGGGTCATTGCTCAACAGAACAGTTACACGACATTTCAAATACAACACCCGCGTGTTATATTCGAATAAAACACTTGTTTGTTTGAATAGAACATACGTGCGTACTATTCGAATAAAACATACGTGCGCATTACTTCAACGTGCGTTCTATTTGGATTTCCGGGACCGACTTTGAGAAATAGACTTTTCCAAGGAAGGTTGATTAGTACGTGCGTGCGTTTTGTTCAGGGGAAGACTGTAGCGATGGACATGTGAACATAATGCGTATGTTAAGCAAAAAATATAGGGGCTAGGGGGTGGATGGCCTCGCCGCGCCTCGATGATGCCATAGGGATTGTTGTCCTTAGTGAAAAGGTGTGTGGCCGAAGGATGACGCTTGGCCTGTGCACGAAAGAAAAAAAACTCTCAAGGAACCCCCTGGACTGCTTGTGTATTGGAATGAGTAATTGCTTGGCTACACTTAAATGAATTGAGAAAACGCCATGAGTGATCATAAAGCTACCATCTAACGCGAGAGCGGAGCTACATCCCCCAATGTAAAGCCCCTTCACAAATGGTCCATCCCTATCCATCTCATAGCACTAGGTGGGGGTGCCCCTATACGAACGACCCGCGCCCTGAGCATGAGCGTGGGCGGGTCGAGCCAAATGGAACCCGCAAAGGGGTCGACTCAGGCTCGAAAGTCTGTCAGGGTACGACCGCTACAAAGAATCGTGGAAGCACCGGGTATGGGTTAAACTGACCCATACGATCCCGAGGGGGGCGTCCGACGCATGTGCGCGAACACAACTCAAGATAAGGAACGAGGACTTGTGTATGCTCTATCCCCTTGAGAGAATCAGATTTGAGGGTGGCTGGGCGCATGGCAAGCCCAAGCCTGGAGGAATAACATGCATGTGACACACTTGGTTAGCCACCTCCTTGGGAGGTGACTCTAGTCCTCCTTTTTTCGGGCTGACGTTCATCAGTCCGGGGAAGCCTTGGGCAGCCACAGGTCGACCCTTCCTCTTCGTGTGAAAGAAGGGCTCCTGTGACCTGGCAGGCGGTTGGTGCTCGGCCTAGGTTGGATTTCAATGAAAATCCCGCGACGGAGTGTTCCGACCGACACGGGTGCCTTCTTCTCTCTTCTTCGGAGCACAGCGGACTCCTTGCACTTTCACTTGAAATGCTTGAAGGAACCTCATATGAACAAAACGGTAATCGAGAAAGAACAATCCCTCCCTATGAACGGACAAACAAGTGAAGATGAGGGGAATGAAGGGAGTTGCTAGACTCCAAGAAAACTAGCTCACCCTTGAAGATGCTCACGAAAAGGCACTAGGCACGATGTATGGAAACTGGGGGTGAGTGACATACACGGTCCCAAGAGAAAAACGTAAGGCATGGGTAGGAAGCGTTGGGGGCACCATGGGAAAGACACTTGTACGGTGTGTGTCCCGCTTGGGATTTGTGGTTTGCATGAATGAGAATTGAGCGTCCTCATTTCGAAAGGAAAGAGTGGGTCTAAACCGGCTGGTGCGGGTTGCGAAACATCGTTTTCTTCGGGTAGGCCACAGGGCTTTCATGTGCAAGGTCACGCCACCGAGCCGTTGGGCGGGTTGGCACGCCGATTGATTAGTAGCATTCTCGCCGGGTGGGTCCGAGCTTGGCTCAGCGCCTTGCCCGGAAGGGGTGTGAAACGTCTCCTCAGGTAGGGCCTGACCTGTTGACGGGCGACGGGGGGTCGTTGCATGTGGGGCTCGGAGGGAGCTCCGAAGGTGATTAGTAGCCTCTCGCGATACAGCATCGCAAAGGCTAATTCTTATCGGACCGATGGATGTGAATGCCCGGACGACCGATTTATGTTCCCACCGAGTACGCGGGGTAATTCCCGGTGCCAATGTGGTTGTACAAGAGCGACAAGACGGGATGGGGTATTCTGGGCAAGAAGGTGAGGGTGTCCCCCCACTGGAGTCTGGGTACCGCGCTCACGACGGTTGAGTTGTGCTTGAGGTACGGGATAAAACTCTGCCGATAGTAACAGTGGAGAGTTCACTCTTGGGAAAAGGCTGGTGAGGAGATGACCGGCCTGTGTGCGAGGATTGCCTGATTTTTTTCCTTTGTGCCTCCCTCTGTAAAGTTGCTTGGGATTGTTGGGAAGGAACCGAGCCTTTTACGTGTATTCTCGCCCCCTATCTAAGTCCGCACGAGTGAGAGAAGATGGAAATGAGCAAGGATAGGAGTCGGAAGGAAAGGAACCAAGAGAAGGAATGTCGGTGGATGGTGACCAACTTTGGGTGCGACAGGGCGACGGTACTTGGGAAATGGGCAAAGGGAAAATTTAGGGAGACCTTGATGAGAGGTCTAAAACAATTCTCATCTAGGACTACAGCTGACCTAACCGAGGACCGATTTGGTACACGAGGAGATTGTTATGATCGTTATTGTGTCCGCATTGAAGAAATGCGACAAAGTCTTTGAATCATTGTCCAATGCTTGAATCAAATGCCTAGTGGCATGATGAAAGCGGATGATCGTAAACTTTGTCCTCCTTCACGCTCTCAAATGCCAGAGTTGGAACATTTCAGGAAGCGTTGAAAAAGCAGGACTCGGCAACTGGGGAAGGACGAGATGGCACGGTGGTTGTCCTCACCGACCTACTCCGGCGGAGCAGAAATGCCGGTGAACGTAAGGGGTGGGGTGTCGGTTGTGATGTTGGAAGAAGGGACCTGGACGAACTTGGAGCCGACATACCAAACCGTGATGCTGGTTGAAAGTGATGCCTTCCTATGGATCGCAACAATGTGGACCAAGGTTAGTTTGACGAGGTTAGCGCCGAGCCTGTTGGACTTAGAGTTTCGGGGGACCGTGGAGGCTCGGGGATGGGTCTACTTGTCTAAGGAAAAGGAAAACGCCATGATTATAGAGTTTGTCTTAGGATTATTCCCGTACAAGTTGTTCAAGGAGGCTGAGCGGGAAGTGGTGTGGGCCGCGTGCCAGAGGGTGGAAATGGTGATGGAGGCGATTGATGTACGGGTGGAACTTCGGGATAGAGCGAACGTACGAAAGTCGTTTAGGACCTTGAGGTGTGTCATGCCGCCCTTCATGGTGGACGCTGTCTTCGGAACCCGGAGCAGGCTGGTGCGGATATGCAAATCCATGGCAAGCATGGGGCTGTACCAAGGGGCCCGGCAAGACTTCTTTCATCTGTCTGCCGAGAAGGGGTCGTTCGAAGGGAATTGGGCGAAGGAACTAGCCACGATGCTAAACCATCTTAGTACGAACGACCTGTTTGTCCCGAGCAACGTGCATTGGAGGATAATGTATAGGAATGTCCTGATAGGGGAGACGTTTATGGAAGGGGTACATGACTTGTGGTATGAGGAGGACGAAGACGACTCGGATGAGGAAGAGGGGGTAAAGATTGAGTATTGGGATTTCTAAAAGAAAAGGCTCGGGGCTGTATGGCATGGGTGGATTGGGGCTGTGCAAGGGATCAAGGAGGGCAAGGGGACTACAACTAAGAGACTGCACGTTTAAAGGATGGGAGCCGAGACGAGTCGAAGGGGGAGTAGAGATGTCCATACCAGCAGATAATCAATGGAGAGGGACCACATGTGACTGGGTTGGACTTGAGATTGTACCAGATTTATCATACCTGTGGGTAGAGCGCGTATGGAATCCTCTAAGAGAAGAGGAAGGATGGGAAGAGATTGTTGAAGGAAGGGTGGAGTCGGTAGGGACGGTCATCCTCTCCGAGCAAGGTTGACACTTATTTTGCACAACGCTCGCGGCAGGACAAAGTCTGATGTGGCTTCTGGGGGATGCGGAGGCGAGGACTCGGAGGGCAGGCGAGAGGTTTGCCAACAAAGGCTGGGACGTAGTCCGTAGTAAGGTCGTAATAGGGGGATGGAGGGAGTTCAGGCCTCCCTACCTGCGAACCAAGATTTGGGTACCCGAGTTCGTGGCGGACTGGTTCGGGGGCTTTGACCACGTCACGGAGGTGGCCAGCACTATGGAGCGGGTACACGTAAATTGCGCGTGGTTGACGGAAAAGTTTTATAAAACATCGTTGAAACTTGGGCCCTTCCACGACGACAGAGCCCGGGAGGTCCTCATCATTTTGGATATAGACATGAACGATCGGCTAAAGGTAGCTCCGGAGATCAGGGAAGCCATAATCCGCAGAGAGGTAGCAGCAACACCTTGCTATGTGGATGATGTGTTCAAACTATTCGAGGTAACGTGGTACGACTAGGAGCAGGAAGAAAGCCCAAACTAGCAGGGGTAAAAGAAGGGGTAAAGGGAGCAAAGAAGGAGGAAGGGGAGAAGTTAGGGGGTGACGTGGACAGGGGAACATGTATCTTATGCAAACCAACCAGGGATAAGAGTACTAAGACTGGGATTGGGGTGTCCAACCATTGTAGGGATCGCTCCGGCGCCGCGGGGCAAAGATTGAAGGCCGGTAGAGGACGCGCAATGGCACGAAGGAGGACGTTCCTTGAGGATCGCCCGCTGGGAATTGAGCCCCAAGGGAAGCGACTGGCGGCGTAGAAATCAGCCTGCCTACCGTAAGTGAGGTCCGACACCCGATGGTGGATTGGGTTGGGGTCGAGCTTATGGAAAACATGGTTTTCCTGGTAACCGAGGTTGAGTGGCGGGCGGATGAGAATAGTGAGTGGAATCCGGACCTGCGGGGACATGTCCGCGCGGAAGGATGGTTGTACTTATCGGAGGATGGATGATGCTCGTTTGGAGTCCTACTAGCGTCAGGAGAAGATTCGCTAAGCATGTTCGAAGGGGCATGACAGCTAGTGTGGCAGGCGGGGCTCGAGTTCGCAGATCCGGAGTTCGACGACGTGACAGCAAACCTTAGGGAGGCCATGACCGGGAGTTTCAATTTGCCTAGTGAGAACGTTCGAATGAGGTTGCCACCTAGGCGGACTGGATCTTGTCAGGCGGGCAGTGACCGACCTCGACAACCTGACGTTGGAGGAGGTGGCGGTCCACCAGGAATACTACAGAGCCTTCCTGGAAATGGGGTCGTTCGGCGGTGAGCAGAGGTATGAGGTGTTGCGAATGTTGCGCGCTGTGTTCACCACAAGGCCTAGAATTCCAGTTGTTAACGATGAGGTTCTATGGGGCGTCGTTCGATGAGAAATAAACGAGGGGTTTATTTACGTAAACGGTCTGAACCTCCTGTACGAGCCATCAGAAGAGGAGACGGGTCAGTAAAAGAGAAAGGAAAGAAGGTAGGAGTAAGGAAGAAAAGGAGGGCGGATTAAGGATTGGGGAGTTGCCCAAGTGGTGGTCGAAGGAATGGCTGAAATAAGCAGATTTCGCTCGCTGTTTAAACTGTGCAGGGAACCGCTAACCAACGATGGCAATGAGACGCGCCTGGATGTCGCGACGACCCACGCACCCTCGGCCGGCCACGGAAAGCGAGGACGGATGGGAAGTGTCACTTCCAGCAAGCTACTTGGTCCGAGGGATCGACACGGAATGAAGAGCTGTGACCTTGGGAAGGGACCAGACCTTCATGATGGTAGAGTGTTTATGGAGAGGTATGAGATTCAATAGGGGACCATGGGACGATCTATATGCTGAATTGAGGGTGACGGGGACCGTATACCTATCAGAGATTGGGTGGCACATGCTAGGAACTTAGATGGCACTAGGACATGGACTGCTGCCAATATTCCGAACGGCTGCCCGGATAGTGAACCGGATAGGCCAGGAGATTCAGGGGAGAAGGAATGTAGGACTGAGAACTCGGGTGGAGGTAGGAGGATAGTGAGAGTTTAGGGCCCCGATGACAGGATTGCGGTGCCGAGTACCCCGTTTTATGGTGGACCTAGTATTCGGCAGCCTCTCGAGGGCAAGAGACTTGGTGGACTCGACCTTAGTTTGGATCCACCACTTCCAGCCACAGACGACGGGAATGTTTTATGATGTGTCAGTTGGTCATAAACCGTTTTGGGGAAATCAGATCCGTGAACTACTCAAACTCATCGAAATCCTGATATTCGGGTTACCACGCTTGACGTTTGAGGAGTATAAGGCTACTATGAGCCAATAATTATCAGAGAGATAGAAATGGGAGAAAACTACCTTGAGGGGGTGGCTAACCTGTTCGAAGAGCCTGACGAACAGGACAACCATGAGGGACCGGCGTGAGAAAGTACTGGGAAATGGCAGCGAAAGTAAAAGTTGGAAATTAAAACGAGGGATTAACCATCTAACGGAAGGTAGTGGTCGGAGTCCTATTCTACCTGAGAACACGGCAGGAAGGGACCGGGAAGGCCACCACCACTAAGGACGCTGAGGGTATCCGGGAGTCGGGAAGGCAAAAAGAGTCATCTTCGAATAGAGAGTCGCCAACCCGGGATACCGATTTAAAACCGAGGCACGACAGTGACAAAATGCCGGACCCCGGGAGCGGGCCTTCCGGCAGAGGAGAGGAAAGTAGCGCCCTGCAGAATAAGAAAACGGAAGATAAGCCGTCACGACTGATATGAGACGGGAAAATATGGAAATAGCAAAGATAAGGACCTTAGGACCTGGGAACTAGGGAAGCTGTGAACGACCGGCCGTTTCGCAGAAAACAATTTCCATGTGCAGGGTTAGGAAAAGATGGCATCGGAAGAAGAGGCTGGGAACCTGCGGAGTACAGAGAGGGGCGTGGAAAGGAACGAAGGGTCAATAAGGGATCGAGAATCAGCAAATCCGGAGGGAACCAAGGAAGACGGGAAGGATCTATCGACGGGGGAAAGTTCGGGAAAGGCCGGGGGAAGTAAACGAGGATCTCAGGAGAACAAGGAAGGAAGGGACAAGGAAAGGTCAAGTCCGCGAAACTCATATGGGATCATAGTCGAGAAAGCGAAAGTCTCGGATGCCCGACGTAAGCTGGAAGAAATAGAGAAGCGAACCGCAGAGTATAAGGCGAGACTTATTGAAGAAATGACGGTTGGGAACGAGAGGGACCTTCCGGGAGAAGAGCTACGAGAGGAGCGAAGGACTAGCCAGGGCGAAATCAGGCACGAAGGGAAGGATAGTAGCCATAGGGGGACACCTAGCAAGAAAGGGAAGGAGAAGGGGGACTCCCCGGTTGTAGAAGCGGAAAAAGCTACAAACCCACCTGCCATAGACAGTGGTGCTAACCGCTTGCCTGCCGCGCGAAAAATAATGAAGGGGTGCGACGGACTTTGGGGTCTCAGAGAAAGGGTACTAGGGTGGTTTGATCCGGAAGGAACAACAACAATCAGAGAAAAGCGGAAGGATAACAAGGAAGGAGAAGGGACTAGTACGGCTGGCGAGGGCGGGCTCAAGAAAATAGTATCCACCCTCACTCTGACATTGAACAAAAATCAGGGCTACCTCGCAGATGCCAAGAAGAAACTCACCTTTGATGGGGCGAACATCACCAAATTCCTGATAGACTACGAGAATCTAGCAGCCCTGTTGAAATGGAGCGAGGAAGAAAAGATGGACCACTTAGGGCAGCATGTGCCACTGAGCTTAGAAAGGGACATTATGGCCATCGTCGCCGCCAGCAGATCCTGGAAAGCGACCCGAAATGAAATGATGAGGAAGTATCTAAAGGCGGAGAAAATGGCAACAGAAGCTGAACTGGCAGCAGTACAAAGGAACCACTATGCGACTTACAATGACTTCCTGAGAGCGTTTACCCTGTAGCGTTACGAATTCCCGGGGTAATGGACCGGATCATGAGCAAGTATTTCCTTAGACAGTTCTTCGAGTTCGACAAGGATAAGATTATGTCGGCTTATCAACAGACCAGCAAGTTTGAGTACACGAGGGACGTAGACTTCAGTACGGTAACAGACCTCGCGGAGAAGACGGTGGTAACCGAGACGTTAGCTTTGCTTAAGGAGGAAGAGGTCATAGACTTGACCGGAAAGACGGGAGACAAGGTGAAGAGGGGAATAGAAAGCCTGCACGAACGGGTGCACGGAGTCGATAATAAGATAGAAAGAGTGAAAAATGCAGTATTGGTAATGCAGGCACAAGTTTTCCGCCCCGCCCTCCCACCCCAAGAGGCCGTAGTTCCGGCAACAGTAACCAACCGAGGATACGGCAGGAAAGATCCGTCCAATGAGCAGTGTCGATATTACATGATGATCTCTCAGTTTATGCGGACCTGCCCAAGACTCAACCACGATATTATGAGACAGAGACGCAGCAGGTCCCTTAAAGGCGAAATTTTCGGGCCCCAGGGGGAGCGAATAAACTGGAATTAGCCAGGCGGAATGTGGCGTGCCGTCATCATCCTGAATAACCTGGATATAATCGTCGTAGAAGCCAAGCCGGTAGCGGACACTGTTTGAGACCAGCCGCGGGGGCGCGGAACACAAGTCAATTTCATCCTAGAAGGTAATGGACAAGATGGGGTGAACATCACCACTCGACGGGCAGGGGCAGAAAAAAAACTTATCCGAGATACGGTAATGGAGGAGGTTGCAGAACGCGCGAATTAAGATGAGCCCGAGACTGGGTAGCCGGAGAAAGTCTACGGGAAAACAAGGGAGGAAGAACCGGTAGATAAAGCCACGGCGGCAAAGAAAAAGTTCAGATACCAAATTTCGATCTTGACCATGCCAAAAATCGACGACACCCTGAGCAAATTGCTTGGTACCATGGTATCTGTATCCTTTCAAACCATGTTGCAAGTAAGCTCGAGATTGCTTAAGGGACTCAGGCAACTGCTAACGCGCAGACGCGTAGAGATAGAAGAGGTCCCGGAACCGCAGGAACAGGAAACAGAGGAGGCTGAAGCACCACAAGGGGTCGCCAACCTCCAGAGGATTCCAGGGGATCTGGAGGACCTGGAAAAAACCTTTGCGGACATCCGCTTAAGCCTACCTGACCGAGAAGGCGGCGGGGTCATGAGGGCACCTGCCGGGACGAGACTCAGCTTCCATGCACTTCCTGTAGGAAAGTTGAAAGTCCAGATTGGGACCCATCATACAGACGCATTAGTGGACGGAGGTGCAGAAATCACCCTCATACGGAGGGACTTCGCAACGATTACAGGTTGTATGGTAAACAAGGAAGTGACAGGGAGTATCCGGGGAGCCGGTGGGGAAATTCCCTTTGCAGGGTATGTCACGAAATGCGAAGTTAAGGCAGGAATCAGGGAGTCGATCTGGTCATTTCAGCGGATGACCGTAATGGAGGAAATGGACCATGACATAATCCTCGGGAGACCATGGTGCGCCAACGTAGAAATGATAGGCATGCACTTGCACGACGACACATATATGGTAGATATAGAAGACCCTGTGACCGACCAGGGAGAGTTTCTTCGACTCCTTGGGACCGGAGGGGACCCTCCGAAGGGGAAGTTGGCAACTTGGTCACCAACGTTCGAAGATAGTGCACGAAAAAGAGCATTCGCCCGGATGGAGGGTATGAGAGAAAGAGTGGAAATAATGATTGAGGAGGCTTTTCGCAAAAAGGAATGGATCAAAATGGGTCTACCTCTGAAGAAAAGGAGGCAAAAAGATAAGGTTCTAGAGGTCATGGTGACAGAGAAGGAGCCAGAAGTCGAACTTGGGGCCAGTCTGCAGCAAGCCGAAGGAGGGTCGAAGGGAAACGCCGGAGGTAACACTCGAAATTTCGGACTTGTTACATCTCGTCAAGGCTATCAAGTACCACAAAGTAGGGGTGGACCCGGCAGCGCTTGCCTAATTTAAGGATGAGATCCAAAAGGGCTACTGTCTGAACGGGAAGATAGTCAGTATACAACCCCGCGTCGCGGAAGCAGCAAGGCCGATTCCGACCGTTCATTTTTTAGAAGAACGATCCCAGAAGTGAGTGTTCGGAAGTACAAGCCGGTAGGGAAAAAAGCCAAGCCAGTCTCGATCCTAGTAGAGACGTCAAACGAGGAGGCCATGGAAAAAGAGCTAGAAATCTTGCGGGTAATTAGGGAGAGACGAGCGGCGGAAGGGCATCGGATACCTGATGCGGTAGCAAACACCATGAAAATAGGGATAGATGGGTTCTTAACGGTGGAAGAGACCTAGCTGATAAGGAAAGTGTGCCAGGAGTTTCACTTAGTATTTGCTTTCAATAACCATCAGAAAGGTTGATTGGATGCAAAGGTAATTTCCCCCGTTAGGATCCTTTTTTTTTTTTTTTTTTTTTTTTTTTTTAACAACACACCCCCGTCAGTGTTAGAGGTGCTGATAAGAGCAAACACCACTAACACCTGGGGAGAGGCTCCATCCATTGGTGGGGAGCATCACCTGCTGGGAAATGGGCCCAGCGTCCTATATAAAGATTGAATTTGCAGCATGTCAGAACAAGAAACATTGTGGAAGAGTCCTGTCAGCATTGATTACCCTGACATCCAGGGGATTGACCGAGTAGGAGGTAGGGGGGGGCGGACCTCTACACCTTAGCAACATGAGTGCTGGAACGACAAAGAGTCTGCCTACGAGTTCGGAATAGCAGCAGAGGTCACCGAACTGCTCAGAGCCAAGATAGATTCGTTCGTGGCCGAACCTACCACATCCCCCTACGAGAACAAGTGGTTTGTTTTTCGGAAGCCCAACAAGACGCTCAGGTGGATCCAGGATTTGCAGAAGTTGAATGTGGTAACAATCCGAGATGCGGGATCGCTTCCACAACCCGATTTGCTGGCAGAATCTCACGCTGGAGCATTTATTCCTTGATAGATTTATATTCAGGATATGCCCAACTGCCGCTCGATGCTAGGGATAAGACCATACACCGCCATGCACACCCCTGTAGGGCAGCTGCAGATACAAGTGACCCCTATGGGTCTTACAAACGCTGTGGCAGAAACACAGAGGAGGATGTTTGCGGTAGCTGGGGACATGTTCCCAAAAAAATGTGAGCCGTATAAAGACGACAATCCCATAAAAGGCGATCAGAACAAAGACGAGACGGAGGTCCAGCCGAGGGTTCGGAAGTTCGTCTGGGATCACCTACAAGATATCAAGGACCTACTCTAGCGGTTCCTGGTATATAACATCACCGCGAGCGGACCAAAGAGCATCCTGGCGGTCCCAGAAGTGACCATACTGGGGTTTTGCTGTGGGGCCTATGGGAGGAAGCCGGACCCGGCAAAGACGTATAAAATCTCTCAATGACCAACACCCTTGTGCACCACAACGGAAGTACGAGCCTTCCTAGCGGTGGTTGGATTCTGGAGGATCTTTATCAAAAGTTTTGCCCAAATAACCGAGCCCATCCGTGCAATGATTAGGGATGGAGGAACTATGGAATGTACCGAGGATAGGGAAGCAGTGGTTCAGACCCTCAAAGACGTCTTGACGTCTGACCAAGTCACATTGGCAGTGCCCTGCTTCAACGACGAAGTAGGACGACCCTTCATTCTGAAAACCGATGGAGGACCCTTGGCAGTGAGAGGTGTTCTGATACAAAGGAGCGAGGAGGGCAGAGAGAGGTCTGTTAGATTCGAAAGCAGGACCCTGAATTCTGCGGAACGGCGGTACTCCCAGTTCAAGAAAGAGGTTTTAGCCATTCCTACATTGCCTTAAGACCTTTCAAGCATACCTATTCGGAAGGCCATTTATCCTGAGGATCGATCCGACCAACATCGCAAGGGCATGGAAGAACTATAAGCCTATAGACCTGACCATTGGGAGATGGATAGGCTTTATCTGACAATTCGATTACAAGGTCGAGCGAATTGCAGGACTCCGAAACAGGGCGGACGGGCTAAGTCGGATCTGCTTCACATCGGAAGGAATAGAGGATGTGGAACCAATCGACGCCTTCCTGGAATACGAAGGAGGAATCCTCGTCGCAGATAATGTGATGATGAGCCTCGCTTGCACACCTGGACAGTTGTTAATCCAGACCCTGGAAAAAGGGGCACCTGCTGTAGTTGCGGAACTCAGGGAAGGGCTTGTCACCACGACGAGACGTAAGGATGAAAAGGATTTGTGGGGGGCAACAGTGGGGCCGAAAGAGGAATTGATGGCAATGGTCGTTAAAGGGGCCGGGACACCGTGATGTGCCTAGTAGAGTCTTGGACACAAAAGGAACGACAATATTTAGTAAGTCAGGCTTAGGAAAAATGAGATACGAACCAGGAGGGACAATAATTTTTCCTCATACAAATGTATGACGGCATCTTTCGAGAAATCGGTCTGTTACTTATAGGAAACAAGCAGCATATGGAAGTCAGCCTCAAGGCAAGGGAGGAAGCCGAGAGGTATGTTTTAAGGAACGGCCACCTGTTCAGGAAGAAAGAAGGAATGACACCTAGGCGAGTTGTGTGCGGAAGGTCTAGGCAGTTAGACATAATACAAGCAATGCATGACGGACTAGCCAGAGGGCATCGGTCATCAAAAGGGACCCTTGCAAAAATCGCGCCGCTTTACTTCTGGCCAGGCATGGCGGGTATGGTGGCTACGTACTGTCAAACGTGTCTGATATGTCAAGAAAGGAGTTCCGCGCGTGTCTTGAACCTCTCAGACCTACTCGGTTGCTGGGGTTGGGGCATCTGGTCCATCTCGATTTCGCGGTCATACCTGTTTCAACAAATGGGTATAGGTATATCTTGGATGCAAGAGACAACTTGAGTGGTTACGTAGAGACGGTAGCGCTTAAAAGAAAGACGGGGAAGGGGGTAGCCGACTGGAAAGAAGATTTCTACCTGAGACACCCCTTCATTCGAAGATTCATAGCGGATAATGGGACGCAGTTCGTAAACCAGGAAGTTTTAGGCAAGCTTAAGATGTTGTGCGTGCCTATCAAGATCATCGAGCCGTATCATCCTGAGGCCAACGCGCCTGTAGAAAGGGGGCACCAGACCTTGAAAAACATAATTGCTAAGTTGGCGGCAGACGACCTGGGGAATTGGCCCCGGTACCTTAAGCATGCAGTCTTCTCAGAGAACATGACGCCGAAAAGGACGATGAGAAGCATTCTGGCAGAACTCTGGTATGGAAGGGAGATTGATTTCCCGGTGGAGGCATTGGTACCCACCTGGAATAGGATAGATGACAATCCGCGCTTGTCCACGGAAGAACTAATCAAGGCACGATGTCAACATGTCCTTAGAAATGAGGAGGCCTTGGAGGAAGTTGTTAAGCGGGTGATGGATAGCCGAATAAGGGACAAAGCAAGATGGGACCAGGTCAAAAACATCCGGAAGGAACCACTCCAGGTGGGGGAAATGGTACTAGTTAGGAACTCGGCCCTTGAAAGCACGTGGTCTGGACAACTCGGAAGAAGATTCAAAGGCCCCTATCGGGTTGCTAAGCGGGTGGGGCTGGACACCTTGAACTTGAGGATCTTGATGGTACTGGAATAAAAGGGTCATTCCCGGGATAGAGGTTGGTCAGGTTCCTAAGCCGGGACCCAATGGAGCAATGGTTGCAAGAAGCTCGGGACAAGGAAATAGGGGACTTGACGGCTTGAAAAGCAGGCAGTTGGACCATACTTTTGTACCGTCCCTCTGCGAAAACGATCGTGACTGCAGGGGTTGTTTCTGTTGTGTCTTCGCCTTTTGTTTTGGGCATGGGGTGACTGCTTGGGTTGAATACGGATGGGGTTGGGAGCCTCGGGACAATGTATCATAGCTTTTGTGGGACAATGATGGGATTGTCTATATGGGATACCTAGTGCTGGAACAATGTACCATAGTTTTTGTGGGATAATGGGACCGCCCGCCTATGTTGTCACTCTAAAAGCACTACCAATCATATGGGGATGAGCAAGGGTTTTGGGGAGTAAGCCTGCAAATTCGCAATGAGAGTGGGAGAGAATGTGTGTATATGGGGGTTGTCGGGTTTCTTTTTTGTTACGTATGCACAGAACTAGGGGAAAAAAAAGCAGCAAGAAAGACAGGAATGAAATTCGGGAATGAGAACGACAACAATTTCATCAACAGACCCACCGGGGAACGAGTGACACGACCAACCGGGGAACGGAGTACGAAAAAGAGAAAGCTGTATGTGGGATTTGACTTTAACTTGGTTGTCGGCCGGGGAGGAAGGAAACAGGGAACCAGGGGGCCCTCATCTCTTAGAGAAAGGGAAAGGATATACGTCCCATCTGAAAGTGAAAGCGAGGGGGAGAATGCGAGCCCAGGAAAAAGGCAGGAACCGGACAACGGGGAGAGTCAGAGCCTTATCAGGGAAGGCGCCGAAAGTAGTGAACAACATGTAGGGTATGAGGACGTATGTGATGAAAGACCTCACCCCTATGAGCCAGAGGAACGTGAGGAAGAGTGTAGCCTCATTCGAGATAGCAGCAGCGACGAAAATGGGGAAGAGCCTAACGAAGTCATAGATATCAGTAGTGGGGAGGAGGCCGAAGAGGTCATTACGCCACTGGAAGAAGTACGATCAAGGGATGAGGATCCGGAGGATGAGAATGACAAATGGATACGAGAGTTTGGACCTACTTGTAACCACTGGTTTGACCAGTGGACTAGTATCATGAGGCATGACTGGGCATTGAAAACACAGGAAAAACCTGAGCAGGGGGGAAGAGATAACCCCAACAACCTTCCTCACAGAAGGGGCGCTTGTGGACTTACAAAGGACGAAGAGGAGGATTCAGAGGGAATTTGATGCTCGGGCAAGGCAGGCCCAACGCAAGGCAACTGAGCAACAGGGGGGGCAGTGGACGTGAAAGAGACTAGCCGTAGCAAAGCAAAAAAAGGGGAGGGAACGGATACCCGAAACAGGCAAGACTGTGGTGTTGATTTTGCATTTGAATTTCTATAAATAAACCACAATGAGACGGCTTCTGGATTAGAAATGACTAAGGATTGGGTAGCTAGTGCTACTTTGTATGAGTACTTGCTTCTTCAGAAGGACTTTAGGATCGATGAGCCTGAGGCTAGAGCTGTGAAAAGCCGAAAAAGCAAAAGGGAAAGGGGCACCTAGATAAGACAAGATTGTAATATTGTCTTTTCATTTGATTTTTTTAAGAAAAAACCGCAACAGGACTGCTCGACGAGCTAGGAGGCATTGAGTAGCTAGTGCTATTTCGCATAAGTACTTGCTCCTTTGGAAAATGTAAGTATCGATGACAGTGAGATGGAAACTGGGAATGGTTGACTCTGTTTTGGGGAAGCTAAAGGGGATGAGAATTGTCGAGATTGAATAAAGTTTATGCTAAAAGAGTTTTGTGAAATGTGTACCGTCGGTTGGATGAGTTATGGCATAAGTTTCTTAGAGAGGTTAGGGGACTTATGGGTAAAGAGGCATGAAGAATTCTCTTCTCTAGGAGCCTAATCCAACCGGTCGCAAACAAGTCTAGAGCAGCAACGGGCATGAGAGGTCAGAGAGAGAGAAAACAAAAATGGTACACACTCCCCTCGCTATGGTTGAACGACCGGGTGGGCTAGTGCTGCTTGGGGTTGCGAGCCTCAACCCGAGCACTAGACGCTATGTGAATGATGTTTACACAAGACAAAGGAAAAAGGCATGCATAAAACCCAAGAAGATTGCCACCTTCTAACCCCTGAGACAGAAATGAGATCCGTGTCCTCGAGGCCCACCCCCTCGGGGCACTAACATTGAAATGGATAAGGACGACCCTGACAAGGCCGACCGATTGAGAATGGATAAGAGCGACCCTAACCAGGCTGTTCAACTTGAGAATGGATAAGAACAACCCTAACCAGGTTGTTCGACTTGAGAATGGAAAGGAATGACCCTAGCCAGGTTGTTCAATTTGAGATTCGAAAAGAACGACCCTAACCAAGTTGTTCGGAAATGGCCCCTGACAAGGGTCATTTCTTTTGAAATAGGCACTGGGGTCCCCTGCAAGAATTGATTGAGAGATGTTGATTGAGAAAAAGCTGGAATGAGCACTATGAGACAGAAAAGTCTAGTGGGTCAGTCATTGAAATAACCATAAGGATGAAGTGACGAGAGTGGCGCGTTGGAAAAAGAAGAGCAGGATAAAGAAGAACGGGCCTCAAGACGAGAAGGGTATAGACCGTTGGGACGGTCGTAAGGATTGAATGTTACAAATGTGGAAGTTGAGGATTGGAAGTGGGCCGACGGGTTGGCCTTGGAAAATAGTTATTGAAGACGCGACCACCGGATCGGTCACGAGGGGTGGCCTTATTGATGAGAGGCTGTCGGACCAGCCATGAGAACCAGCTATTAGATGGAAACAACATTGGATTGACTGATGAGAATTGGATATTACATTGCATAAGTCAGGGGACCCTAGGCAATTTTGAAGAAAGGTCGTCGGGCCGACCATGGAAATGGCATTGAGAAAGATTTTTCCTTTTCCCCTAGTCTCCGACCTCAGCAGGAGGGGGATACCGGTGCTTGCACCGCAACCCCAAGACCTCTATCCTTCTAAGGGAAAAGTCTCAGCGGGACCTATTTCTCTTAAGAGGGGATGAGGGTTAAAGGATCAAGGCACGTATCCCTTGGATCGATGCGGGCCGTCCGGAACTAACTCTGACAATGAGCTCTAGTCGGGGAGTTCAAATTGTGCCTCATGCTGAGAGCCTAAACGTCAAAGGGTGAGAGAACCAAATGGGAGAGAGAGTCATTCTTATTCTAGTCTTTTTTGCTCTCTCCAACCACACGCCATACCATAGAGGGGTGGCATGGCCGTTTGGGTCGGACCTCGGCTGCGCGCACTAAGTTGGGCGGCACTGTCCAAGGGGAGGGGCCAGGCGAGGTACCGGGTGGAGTCAACCACCACCACGAGGCATTGACACCGCCTCGCCGGAACATTACAACCGTTTCGGGACTAACCGCGAGGTCTTCGTAACTACACTCGCGAACTTATAGAGAGCCCCAACTCTCTTGAAAGGAAGAGGTCAGATCCAGAAAAATTACCACTCGGAAGGAACGATTCGCAAGGGAAGCTCTTACGGCTAGACGAGGCCTGGGAGGCTTGGACTGGGCCTACCTGCCGGATGTGAGGAAGAACGTCAGTAATGGTGTTCGTCGCGTAATAGCGAAAGGTCAGACCGAGTAGGAGGATGAGGCGCCACCCGCTGGGGAAGAACTGATCACTCTTTCTTTGTGAAGCAGATGCGCTTGCGTCCTTGACTATGGTCAGCGGGCCAAAGGTCTGCGTACCTCCGAGTGAGAACCGGTCGCGCGATGGGGACATCGCGTTTTGAGTGGGAGGAAGGTGTGCCATCTATCGATGAAAAAGCATGCAAGAGAGAAAATAGTTGTGTAATTGACTTTGCATGGGCTGAGAAATGGCCTGGCAAGATGTCCAGAAGAGAAAAGACTTGTGTAATTGGTTTTGTATGGGTTTGGGAAAGAGGTCTGGCAAGATGCCTAGAAGAGAAAAGACTTGTGTAATTGGCTTTGCATGGGCTTGGGAAAGAGGTCTGGCAAGATGCCTAGAAGAGAAAAGACTTGTGTAATTGACTTTGCATGGGCTTGGGAAAGAGGCTTGGCAAGATGCCCAAAAGAGAAAAGACTTGTGTAATTGGCTTTGCGTAGGCTTGGAAAAGAGGTCTGGCAAGATGCCCACAAGAGAAAAGATTTGTGTAATTGACTTTGCATGGACTTGGGAAAGAGGTCTGGCAAGATGCCCAGAAGAGAAAGGACTTGTGTAATTGGCTTTGCGTGGGCTTGGGAAAGAGGTCTGGCAAGATGCCCATAAGAGAAAAGATTTGTGT